CATTTCAAATCAACACTTTGCAATGAGACTTCAAATTACACCTGATATAAGTTCACATTGTATCGTACTTCATAACATTTTTCATTTAATCACAAAATGTCAAAGTCACTCTTCTAACCTTCCCCAATTGACATGCGTCTGAACCTATAGATTTGATCTATTTTAAGCAATAAAAAAATATAGAAGATAATCTCTTTTAGATTGCTAGCTACGAGTCTTTTAGGACGCACATGATAACTATTTTATTTTTCTATTTTTTTTGTCCCGAAAATAAGTTTGAAACAGAAATCTGTTCAGTAACGCAATTTTATATTTCTCTGGAACATATTTTTAGTCCAGAAATAGGTTTAGAATAGAAATGAGAAGTAAAAGTTTTCTACTTTTTAGTTTTTGGAACAAAAAGAGAAATAAAAATTCTTCTTGTCGTTCATCATCACCTCCGCCACTCCCCGCCCGCCACCACCACACCCCCCCCCCCCCCCCCCGGGGGCCGGCCGCCGCCTCCCACCACCCTCTGCCGGCCACCATCCCTTGTTGGCCGTGCGGCCGTCAATGAATGGAAAAGAGCATAAGAGGGAAAAAATTTGTGTCGTTATTAAACGAATTTTTGTTTCAAGAAGAGAAATTTTGTGTAGTTATCAAATGCGTATTTCTGTTCAGAAACTCGTCTAGGGAATAGAAATAAAAAAAATCTTTTTTCTAGTAAAAAATATATTTTAGAAACAGAATAGTTATCATTTACGCCCTTAGGGTGCATGTGAATTATATGTAATGGGCAACTTTAAGGAACTACTGAATTCAATTGATTGTCCGTCCAAAAAAACAACTCAGTTGATTGAGATTAATATTAGAGTGTGAACTTGATCGACAAAGGTCAATCCCTACTCACTTTATGGAACACCAAATTTCTTCTACAGCTTCTGATTGTCTGCCATATCTTGAACTGATGATTTGGATGATTCCCAATGTATTTAGACAGGCTTTCAAGCGTGCATTTCATACCTTAGATTTGTCTAACTATTAAGATCATGTCCCATTCGTGTTAAGGTAAACAAGAGTATAAAATGAATTGAATTTAGTTACCCATGACCTGATTTCATTATGTGGGCCTTTAGTGAATTTTGACCTATTTTTAATTTTAGTGGCATCACCTGTAAAGACTTATGCTTTGATACCATGTGTAACAATGTGCCTACCTCTCGACGCAAATCAATAACTTTTTACTGACTTTTCTTAACCAGAAAACCAATTTACTTTGCCATTGAGAACGTGTTTTCATGAGGTCCTCATGGAAGCCGTTTTCTTCTTCTTGCTCTAAGACAAGCACAATTTTGCCTTGCCCATATTTAAAAGTAAGCCATACCCAAAGAGGTATATTGTCACTTAAGGTCACTCTGAGGATCACAACCGCCGTTTCACAAGTGGAACCCTTACTCTATGTATGTAACAAAGGTAAATCACGGGCATCTATAAAAATTAGTTCGCCCAAAAATTTGGAACACTGGCTGACCTGCAGGAAACCGAGACTTTCCCTCTTGTCATTCCAGGCACATGAGGCTAATATACCTGCTTACCCGGCGATAGCTAACCAAAGTTGACGTGGTGTCTACCTTCACTATGTAAGAGGCCTCCTAAGTTCCCTCCAAATGTTTTTCTTCCCTGGAGAGAACTTACAGGGAGGAACCTCCACCATACCGGGAAATTCCTTCCCCTGTCTCCCTTTGAGCCTTTTAAGGTCCTGCTCAGGACCATTACTCTATGTATGTAACAAAGGTAAATTACAGGCATCTATAAAAATTAGTTCGCCTGAAAATTTGGAAATATTAATATTTGTAAAAAAAAATAATTACTTAAGTGCCATCACCGATTTGAGATGCCGAAAATTCGACGTGGCAATATTTTAACATTTTGTCCGACGGAGGCTCGCCAGTGCTATTTTTGTTCAATGGAGAAGCTCAACTATACAAAAAACGGTTAGTCTTTGAATCTAATTCTATGGTCTTGAAGCTGAACTTGAGCCCCACGACTTCGGCCGTATTCTTCATAGTTGAGAGCTTTAGCTTTCCCTATGCACATGTCGCAGTCCAGATGAGTCAATGTATCATTGGATACTCTATGGCCATGCTAATTCTCATGATTAGGATGATAAAAATGTCATAACTTTTGAACGACGCTCACTTTAATATCGGAACTTTTCGTTAGATCACTTTAGTGCCACTTTGACAAAAAAAAAACAGTTACTCAAGTATCAACTTTTATTGAGGACGCTAAAAATCTGACGTGGCAATGTTTTATCTTTTCTTCGACCGACATGGCTCGCCGACGCTTTGAGTCAGCATAAATAGCCCTATACAATGTGTTTCAACAAGTTTGCACCAAATTTAAACCCTAATTCGGACAATTACCATTGTAGATGCCAAGAGACTAAATCTAAACTCAAAACAAATTATTTCTCCAGTAGCTCCTATGCTCTGGTTCTGCGCATCCATAGTGGCGACGCAAGGAAGGTGGGAGGTTGGAGAGTATTCAGGAACAGGGAACGATTTGGATTCGCTTTCGGCCACAATGGTTTTGAATAGAATAGGAATGGAGAAATTTTTTTTTTCTGGAGATTGGAGAAAGCGGCTATAGCAAAGATGACGCCGTTGATGATGAGAAAGTTGAACAGAGGTTCGAGCCACAAGAGAGAGATATGAACCTTCACGAGCTTAGAGATTGACAAGACGGAGAGCTTCGGAGCCAGAGCCACTGAGAGTACGGTGGTCGACACGGCAATGCCTTTAGCTGAGAGCATTCAAGCACTCGAAGACACCACCATTGTTGGTGCTGTGTAGAGCTTTAGTGAGCGAAAGCCGAGAGAGAAAGAGACGACCAAAGTATGACACCATCATTTTTGGTGCTGTGTTGACCTTTAGGAGAGCACCCATTTTTATTTGATTGAGTTTTTGGTAGGAGTGATCGGTTCCCGGTCTGATCCGGTTCCAAGGTAGAACTGGAAACTGGACAGGGAGGATCGGTTCTCAAAATTAGGAACTAGGGACCGGACTGGTTGGTCCTAAAACCGGGAACCGGACCGGACCCCGGTCCGATCCAATGGAACCGACCACTTGGGGTTTAATTCACATTTTACTAATTTTTGTTAATGAATTTATGTCAATGAAGTTTAATTAGAGTTTATTTACATTTTACTAATTTTTTAAAAAAGATAAAAAAAAAGTATATGTAGTCGATTCGGTCCAGTTGGTCTGGTTCCCCCTTGGGACTAAGAACCATACCGTCATGATACCGATTCCACTTTTAGAAATTAGGAACTGGACCCAACCAGCAGGTTCGATCCAGTCTAGGGGGTTTCTAGTTTGGGCAGTCTATTTTGCATACCCCTAATTTTTGGGGCCGTTCGAGAGGTTAGTGAAAAAGGATTTGAGTAAGGTTGAAGAAGAATGGCTCCGTGAGATTTGAAATTGCAATTTTCATGGAGGGAAATAAAAAATAATTTGATTTCTTTTCCACGTGGACTTTCTTCTATCAGAAAAAATCCACATATGCATTAACATTAAATTAAAAAAGCCACATAAGATTTTTTGTCAGATTTTATTATCGAAGGCACTTAAGTGATTTCTTTTCTTTTGTGTGACACTGAAGTGATTCAGTGAAAATTTTTTGCACTAAAATGAGCGTCATACGAAAATAATGGGACTTCTAGTATCATTTTTCTTCAATTCTCATAATCAATGTAATAATTATAACAGTGGGCCAAAGTACTGTCATATAAACCATCCAGGACAGCAGTTTTCTTGACGATATAGGTAGAGTCCGACCGATCATACGTCCTTCCACTGCATGTTCAATACACTACTCTCGTATCGGGATCACATTTCACGACATTGAAAAGTACAAAGAATCCCTATGAACATTAGTGTCGCAATATTTTCCGATGTATTCATGGTTTGGTCATCTACGTATTCCTTTCCTCCTGACCTTTTCTTCACCGAAGCTCCAATGGACAGTTTATATAGGGCAAAAAAAGGTTGTTATAGGTTTTTCCACCAACTTTCGTTTATGTAAATTGAGACGGAAGTCTCTCGTTGGCTTTTATAATCTCATTTTGTTCCCCATTTTATATTTCAGTACATTCTATTACAAATACTCTTATGTTTATTCCTCTTAAAATTTTCCATAAACTCTTAAGTCATTGGATAAACTCATTTTATAAGTGATAAAGTGCACATGATTAGTCAAAGTTGCAAAAATACCAAACCATGTATTTTATTTTTTTTGAGAATTAATGAATCAAATTAACAATAATTTTCCAAATCGTTGATTCACTTGTGCTTATATAGGGCAATACCGTCAATCAACAGTAAACGACTTGTCCACTCTTACCACAATGCCGAATTTGTGTATGCATGTGGAATGGGAAAATTACCCAATCAGTCCTAAATCTTTTGTATAGATGCTAATTACGTCCTAAATTTTTTTAATTTTGTCAATTTGTCCTGAACATTTGCTCAAAACTCCAATGTAGGGCCTTCTAGTCAATTTTTGTCGTAAATTGCGGACGTAGGGATCCAATCACCGTCGGCCTTCTTACATGGCACACCAGCACATCAGCGATTTTTGGTGAAAAAAGACTGGAATGATTATATTGGAATTTTGAGCTAAGATTTAGGATTAAATTGAAAAAATTTAAAATTTTAGGACTAAATTAGTATCCGTACTATAGATAGAGGATTGATTGGATATATAAAACTCTTAGGATGTAATTGCCTCGAGCCTTTCTACCTAACACAAACAGCTAGATTAGATTTTCACAAGCCGGTGAGTAACAAGACTTGTGCAATTTATTTAACTTTGACATTTTACTGGACCTTTTCGTAAGCACACGAGTACAACGTAGGATACAACTATAGTCCGCTTGCTACTTGAACACAGGATATCATACGAGACATCTATGCCCTATTATTACAGTTCATTACCGAGAAGGACGTGAAGCATATTATTTACTCGCTGAATTCATAATTTTCATATCTAATTCTACAATCCTTAAGTTGAACTTGAGCACCTACTCTCAGACGGCATTCGTTGAACAGATGATCTCTAGCTTCCTTCAAGCACTCATTGCAATCAGATTGTGTCAATGCCCCGTTACACACTCCATGGCCGTGACAGTCGAAGCAGCTAGTGTAGTAATTGAAACCATTCATTGGTGTGTAAGCACACACATCATCCATAACAGTACCATAGTTAGTTTCATATGCATCAAATGAACTGTACGTCATTTCATTGCATATACAGTAAACCTCTGTTGTGTCAGGAGTACATATCACAATATTGCCGGTGCCAAACAGCCCTATGACGAGGAGTGTCGTCATGTGTTGCAATGCGTTCATGATTTGACTGACTCTCTGCCTACACTTTCTCTCCTGATTTTTTCTATATAAGTTCGATTTGCGTGGTCTATATATGAGAGATTCTTCTTATAGGTTTCTCCACCAACCTTTTGTTTATGAATTTGGTGGAAGGATCTTTTGGATCTTATGAAGCAAGGACCGGCATTTTCGAGAGAAATGCTTATAACTCTCCGAATTACTCGAGGGAAAAAGTTATCTAAAATATATATAGTAGACAAACTCATCCTATTGATAACACGGTAAATAGCATGTCCAGCTATGAAGCTGCAAATTGTGAAAATTTGCTTGTATCTGTTTAAGAATAGATTTAGTTAATGATTTCTGTCTCTGGATGTTATTTGTCTCTCCATGTGACATACAATTTCGGCAATCAATATGGAAAATAAATCAAAATATTACATGGAGGTTTTCTCTATCCTACCAATATATTTTGTTATCCTTGTCTTAAAGCATGCAGAACATACAATATGTCATTTGTTCCCATGTAAAACAAACACTTAGTGCCTCGGTTCCACCATAGAAAAGAAATTTGTGAATCGAACCATATACAATGCCATCGATGACTCCAAATGTAAGAATAAAATAAATCACGGAGAATCATTGTGCGGCAATCTTGGATTTGAGCAAAACAACCGCCCGCAGCGGCTGCGTTGGCTTGCGCTCTCATCCCCCCACGAAGGGATCAGAGTTCGAACCCCAGCGTAGTCGTTAGGGATTCTTAAGTGTGGCGCCGTGGTAGTGGGTCCTGCGCTAGCGTCACCCCAGGTTTACCCCTCCGGCTGTCGGCCGTGCGGGGGGTTCCTGGGTAAAAAAAAAAACTCTCATATGGTTTTACCAAAAAAAAAAAAACAAACTCTCATATGTCTTGCGTCCCAACAGAACAATGTGGCCGGCAAAGACTTCTAAACAAAATAGAATATCAACCCAAAAAAAAAAAAATAGAATAAGGGTGCTGTGATATAACTGCAAAAGAAAACTGCAAAGCATTCACGAGTACTACTAGTAAGTGGAACGGTCATATATCGCATGTTAATGAAAAATTAGAGAATATTGGAGACTTGTCCATAGGCATCAACATATAAAAGTCTATCGTGAGTAGCACTTGATATTAAATGAAAAACAACATTCTTCGGGAAAAGAAAACTCATTGGATGTAATTGGCTCGAGCCTTTCTACCTAACACAAACAGCTAGATATGATTTTTCATAAGTTGGTGAATAACAAGACTTGTGCAATTTATTTAAATTAGACATTTTACTGGACCATTTTGTAAGCACACGAGTACAACGTAGGATACAACTATAATCTGCTTGCAACTTGAACTCAGAATACCATACGAGATATATGGGCTTTATTTTTATGGTTTATTACCGAGACGGATGTGAAGTATGTTGAGGAAAACTCCTATTGATTTTGAAGTTGACAAAACATTCCATGTTATTGTAAATTTGATACTTATTCTGAACTATTTTATTCCAGGTATGTATATATATGCTGGAAGCTCAGAAGGAAGTTTTTTAGACTTTACAAGCTGGCAAAATAAGAAGTTCATATCTTATTGAAGACCCACATAATCTAAGTTTTGAGACGCAGACGCAGAAGTTATTCAGATGCAGACGCAGACGCAGACGCAGAAATTATTTAGACGCAGACGCAGACGCAGAATTTCTTCAGACGCAGAACTCAGAACGAAACATAACAGCTAGTGATCTGGCATGGATTTCACAGAAGGAAAGTTTTGATTGTCTCAATCCAAGGCTATAATTGATTGACAATCAAATACTACGACAAGTATGCATTACAACGGATAAAGCTCTACTTATGGAAACCAAGATTCTGATTGTATGGGCGACCAGAATCAGCGGGATTCAGAATCTGTCATCCAACGGCTACTCAATCATTTTTATACAAATCTGTCTAAGGTAAAGATTGGAAGGTGATCCTCTGAAAGCTGTCCAACGGCTAGTTTAGAAGTGGAGGAGTATTTAAGGAGATCAACGAGCAGCAGAAGGTAGAACAGAATCAAGAATCAACAAGTCCAAAGTCTGAGCATACTCCGATCATTTCTCTTGTCTTTCTGAGCCAAAAATTAAGATCTTGAGGGATACTTTGTAAGAGTGATTGTATGAGATAGAGAGTCCTATCATACACAAGAGTGCTGTCACACAGAATCTGTAATTCCTCTTGATTACATAGTGAAATCCAGCCGGTAGGCTGTCAGCATGGGAGAGTGGACGTAGGCTTGCTATAAGCCGAACCACTATAAATTTGTGTGCAGTTTTTCTATCCCTTATCTCTTATCTTACATACTGCACATCAAGAGCACTGTCTATAAACTGTCTTGAATCTGAATTTTATTCAGACTCAACTGTGATCTTTCATTTCCGCATAAATTGTTTAAGATCACCTATTCACCCCCCTCTAGGTGATCCTTGCTAACTACATCAATTGGTATCAGAGCAGGTTGCTCATTTATTGAAGTGTTTTACTTCTGAGCTAACGATCTATATGGCTAGCTTGAGTGCTCCAGGTCTCATTGAAGGACAAAGCAACAACAGACCACCATATTTCGATGGCAAGGAATATAGTGTCTAGAAGAATCAGATGAAGGCATTCATAAAGTCAATTGATCACATGCAATGGGATGTCATCATCAGAGGAGTCAATCCAAAATCTTCTGATTCAAAAGAAAAGGCAGACGGAAGCAAAGCAGCAGATCCTCCATTATCTCAAACTGAGATATCTAAAAGAGAAGCCTTAGATTTCAAAGCAATTTATTCTTTCTATTGTGCCTTATTACCTATTGAATATAAAAAAATTGCTGCTTGTGAATCAGCCAAGGAAATCTGGGATACTCTCCACACTACTTATGAAGGAACAGATCGAGCCAAGAAAACTCAAATCAATCTTTTGCTTGATCAATATGAATCCTTCAAAATGAAGCCTGGAGAATCAATTGCTGATATGTATTACAGCTTTGCTGACATAGTAAACGGTCTTGCATATCAAGGACAACCAGTCCCAGATGCGATGAAAGTCAACAAACTACTGAGAGGACTGACAAAGCAGTGGGATAATATCAAAACATCTCTTCGAGCGACACAAAGGATCAAGCCTCTATCAGTGAATGAGTTAATTGGAACTCTTCAATCATATGAGACTGAGCAACGGAATGAGGAGAATGAATCCAGAGGTAATAAGTCAATTGCATTAAAAACTAACATTGATTTTGATGCAGATTCTGAAGATGAAGATGTTGATGATGAAGAACTGGCCCTCTTCATAAAGAAGTATAAGAAGATGAAAATCAAAGGAAGAAACCTCAAAGGGAAGAAGCCTTTTGAGAAGAAGAAGGCTCTCGATGAAACATCAAAGGAGGTAATCTGCTTTCACTGTAAGAAACGTGGACATATCAAGCCAAATTGTCCACTTCTGAAAAAGAAGACCAAATTTGAGAAAGCAAAGAAGGCCTTAAAAGCAGAAACCCGGAGTGATACAGAGTGCGAAGACAGTGATGAAGATATCTCAAATTTCTGTCTAATGGCTAAGTCAGACTCAGACTCAGATTTAGATTATGATCCAAAAGTGGAAATTGAGATAAAGCATTCTGAAATGCCTATTGAAGTATCAAATTACATTGATGAATTATGCTTTGAATTTAAGACTGCTCTTAAAAGAATCTCTTCTTTGAAAAAGGAAAATTCATCACTGAGGCAACAGGATGTTTCATAAAAAGAAAAAATCGATTTCCTTCAAAAAGAATTTCATCAAGTCAAGGAAAGTCGAGATTTTCTTTCCAAAGAAAATGTTGTTTTGAAAAAGGAAGTTTCAGAAATTACTTCCAAATTTTCAAAAGGTTCAGAAACCTTGAAACATATCATTTCTATCCAAATTCCTTACTACAACAAATCTAGTCTCGGATTTGTGAATGAAAGTGATAGCTTAATCAATTTTCCAAAGGTCAAAGAGAGATTAAGACAAAGACCTCCTCGACAAGCTTATAAAAATCATTTCAAAAGGAATTTTGTCAAACCTGTTGGCCGAAGTGCTCTTAAGTGCTCAAAATGTGGAGATCCACAACATTTTGAGAATGAATGTCCTAAGGTCTGGAGACCTATTCGAAGAGACTTTGTTAAGACAGCCTATATTAATGCTCAAGGACCCAAACAAATTTGGGTACCAAAGAAAAATTGAGATATTGTGACTTTTGCAGGTTACCACAAAGAGAAAAAGAAAGTGGTACCTAGACAGTGGATGTTCTAGACAAATGACAGGAGATCCAAGCATATTCGTTGAACTACAAAGCCTGAATGGTGGAAAAGTTTCCTTTGGAAGAAATAACAAAGGAAAAATAGTTGGCAAAGGAACGGTTGAAATTGGAGGACTCACAATTAATGATGTCTCATTGGTAAAAGGACTCAACTACAACTTGATAAGCATAAGCCAACTATGTGATACAGGTTTCAAAATCAACTTTCAAGAAGATACATGCTCAGGAACAAGCAAAGATTCTTCTCAAACATTCACAAGAAGAAGACACGGCAATATTTATCTTCTAGATGTCAATCCAAACTCCACTCATTGCTTGATCTCAATCAAAGAGGATGAAGATCTATGGCACAGAAGATTGGGGCATATCAGTATGAAACAAATCTCAAAGATCTCAAACAAAAAATTGGTTCGAGATCTGCCAGATTTGAAATACAAGAAAACAGAGTTATGCAATGCCTGCACTCTAGGAAAACAAGTAAGAAGCTCTTTTAAGTCTATACATCATGTTTCCACTAATCGTGCTTTGCAGCTTCTTCATATGGATCTATTTGGACCAACCAGAACACAAAGTATTGGTGGTAAGAAATATTGTTTAGTTATTGTTGATGACTTCACAAGATTTACTTGGGTGTTCTTCCTTGCTCATAAAAATGAAGCATTTTCATATTTTTCAAAATTTGCAAAAAGAG